ATCGAGATATATATCTTATATCGCCATCCAGCTAAAAAATATCGAGATATGAATTTTGGGTCATATCGCCCAGCCCTAGGTCACGTCGCATTAAATCCGTCTTTTACGTCACTGACACAAGACAGACGCCGATTATCAGCGCCGGAGAAGACATCGCGAACGCTTCCTGGCCATCCAGTGAAACTGTTGGGAAGACAACGTTGGAGAAACGTGAACATTTTATTTGTACTGTATAATCTGCAGATTCTGACAGAAATCTGCAGCTATCCTCTGAAGCAGCGCTGCTCTAAAACAGCAATAAGGATCATTATTAGGCCAAATGTAGATAACACAATAACGTTATAACTTAAAGCAAAATTGGGAAACGTAAAGTCCGAAACAAGTCTTTATATTAAGGCCATCAGTCAAACATACTGTTGCTCTGGGTCTAAACAGAGCGCGTTGTGTGTGACGTCTTCTTTTGCGCATGCGGCCGCTTTGAGCGTTCACACTAGAGCGCGTTTGCTGTCACGTTTTATCTGTAGTGTGAACGAGCAGACAAAAAAAAAAAATCGCATTTGATCAAAAAAATCGGAATTGAGCTTTAAGACCTGCAGAGTGAACGTAGCCTAAGTGGTACGGTGTGAGGAAAACTCTTTCTGTGGTGTCGTCGTCTAATTAGGACACCCCTGATAGATGGAACATGGCCTTCAATGGTACCAGGGCTCACTGCAGATAACACTGCATCTTAGTTTGCCCTATGGCATGGACCCTACACAGATCAGTTAAACGTGGTGTGGTTGGAGCAGAAACCAACTGCAAGAGCAGTGTGCATGCTCGCAGGTGCTGCTAATCAGGCATCTGATTGTCATTGCAAGGGTTCCTTGCTCAACACAAAAATGTATTTTCCTTACAAATATGGTACTATTAAAGGTGAAATAACTGGTCTTCCAACATCTTCAATGCCAAGAAGCACTGTTACAAAGAAATAATGACCCAAACCAAATTTCCTTACTTTTGATGCCAAATGTATTTTTTAACCTCCGAGGACCTGGTGTCCACACGTGGACATCACATGTTCTCTTGTCTAGACCAAAATACTAAATTCTGCTCTACACGGGCCTGATATCCACTTACGAGGACATTATACTGCCACTCTTCTATTAAAATTTAAAACAGATGTCCTCATATGTGGATCTCATTTTTCTCATAAATTAAAAACAGCTATGACAGCTGGGATAGGCTCCAGTGCAGTGCTTCCTACATGTCCTCCATTTCAATACTGTACATTCTCCCAGAACACCACGAGTTTTAAACTGCGACACATCACACACAGTTAAGGTAAAATAATTAGTGGTGTCTTTACTCTAAGAGACTGTCCCCTTCAAGCTCCATGGAGCATTGGAGCATTTCCCTTTGTGCACAGCAGCACTGTGTTAATGATCTGCTATGTCACGTAGATCTGAACTGAAAAATATAAATGAATAAATGAGGAACTGAAAGAAAGCGTTGTGTTTTTAATTTAATAAATAATAAATGCTTTTTTTCCTGGCACAAAGGGGGATGACAACAACAGCACGAACAGACAGAAGAAAATATTGGCGTCGGTCTGGAAGTTCACTGGTGCTTCTGTATTAGCTCACAGTCAAGATCAAGCATTTTAAGATCTGCTTCACAACGAACACTAGCGGAATCAGATAGAATGAGCGTAATTATAACTATCTGTATATAATTCTTTAAAACGTTTAGATTTTCTTGCATTTGTTATGAACACATGAAGACTATGTAATAGTGCGATTACAGCTGGAAATCATCCACACAAACAGCCAAACGAGAGCAGCCTTACCCTAAAGCAAACTTTACTGTGCTCTTTAAAACGTCAAAGGAAGGGAGCCGATTTCTATTTTACTTTTTTAAGAGGCCTGTCATTGACTACAAATCTTGCAATTCAGGTCTTTTGCCTCCTTTTTCCTTCGAAGTAATAATTCTCCAACTTCTGAATAATCTTTGGTGGACAGTGCTGAGCGATAACGCCGCGGTCCGACAGCGACGTCACCATGCTAGCAAAGCGGCCTTTGGCACTACTCATACCTAGCTGGCGCTGGCCACCGACAGGTAGCAATAAAGCGGCTAATACTGACAGCAGGATGCTTCAGTGAAACCGTGATCTTGAAAAGTCTGCAGCTGGCGCCATTTGTTCGTCTACGGCCAACACTCGACTTCACTTCCGTCAAATCGGCCTGCTGTCGAACTGCGGCCCTAAAGTAAGCACACATGCTTAGAACAGTCATAAACCCCGGAGAGAAGCAGCGCTACTCACGTTTAATTCCTCTGCGGCACACAGAACTCAACCTGACGACGGCCGCCATGATGAACAACCAACCAAGGTCACGGCAGTAACCCGGATGTAATCCTGTCGACGTGGCGTCACAAAGATTGTGGGTGTTCGAGATGATCACCGAATTATTATGTCTTTTAAATAAATACCAATAACTAATAATAGTCTTATATGGTGTGCTATGTGCAACATTTGTTTCATTCCTATTAAGTGTCTGTTGTTAGAAGGTGGTCAACTGTGGCTGTACAAAACAACACAAGAAATAAATGAATCTAAAATAATTAATACGTTTTATTTATATTATGGTTTTATATGTTTACAGATATTTTCTTTTTTTATTAAGCTTAATATTTTGTGTTTTTGGTTTTTAAACTATGGACATAAAGTCTGACAAAAAATATCGACTGATCGAATTGCAGCAAATGATATAACAAATGTATGGGAAGCAATAAATCACTAATTGTTGTTCTTAATTAATTTCTTAATTATTGTAGAACCATCTGCAGTACCTCTTCAATGTCAACCTTTTATTTTGTTAAAACAATGATTTGCTGACTGACTGTTTTAGTCTTCCATACTCGTGGAACATCATACAGTTAGAACTAAATGCCACCAGAGTCCTCTGAGAAATGTCTGCAGAGACACAGGCATGTTTGTGATCAGGTAAAGAAGACATAACTGTGTTTTTACTGCGCTGACTCCACCACTACAATTCATTCATACACACTTTCATAATTAAGAGGTAAATAAACAGCACCAGTGTTTTGTTTGTTGTTATTTTATTTTCTGACTTCTTTATGTGAAAATAAACGGAGTTCTCTGTAATCCTCATTCCTTCTATAAAACGTCTCTACAGCTGGATGTGAAACATGCGTGTGTACGCTAATAACCGTACCGGTCGGTGTTTGGGGGGTTGCTGCTCAACATGAAACATCTTTGCACGCGTCCTTTGTTGCGTCGCATTTAGCGCGTCAAACAACGCAAACAGGAAGCGCCGCCGCCTGCACCGCACCGTGTGATTAGCGCTGTTTCCCAAACCGCGCCGGTGGAAGAGAAGGTCACCTCTGTGCTTGAGCAGTGCTCGGAGCTCCTGTGCAGCCGACGGGCAGAAGACATGGACGGCTTTGATAACTTGAGCGCGTCGGAGAAGGCAGAGGCGACGGAGCTGCAGCGCATGATCGCTGTCGAGCAGCAGAAAGCGCAGTTCCAGGCTCAGGTCTGTAAGAGGACGGGGGCTGACTGTCCTCCGACAGATGTAGTTCATTGCACGACGTGATCTGACGTCTTACACGTGCTTAGTTGACCGTTAATGTCTCTGTACAAGAGACCAGTTTGTAGTAGAACTGGACATCACACAGCTGGAAGAACATCTGCTTCTTGTCCAGGTGTTTCCGCGTTGAAGAGCATAGAGTTAATATATCCTCTAGATCCACATGCTGAGCTTTGTTAACCGTGGATTCGAAGCTCGGCGTAATCCAGTCAGTACTGTGTGTGGTTACATTGCAGCTTTAAAGATGATCATTAATCGTTTATTTGACCTTTGGTATCGCTGGGATAATTGGTGGATGTCCGAAATATGGAGCAGGTCAGCTGAATCACTAAATGATGATCACTATGATGGATGTGGCTGTGGACAAATTTATTAAGGGGCGCTTCACAGCGAGTGATAGACAGACCGAGTCAGTGAAGGAATTGGTAAGCATCGTTGTGTGGAGAGCAGTGCACGTTAGTTGCTCCGTAGACAAGCATCCAGTGTGGCAGCTGGTAACCTTTCCCCCTCTCATTCTAAATAAACATTCATAGAAGCAGCTCTCACAACCATAACAGGCAGAAGACGTGTGTTTTTAACTCCATGCACGTCGGTTCTGTGCTTGATTTAAATAGTTTCCTGTACACACAGAAACATGCTGTCTTCTAGAGTCCGGCATGAATCTCGGTTACATGTGTTCAGTAATCAGCTTTCAGCCTTTTCTTTGTTAATAAACATTAACTGGCATCAGCCGCGATGCTTCGACATTCTATAAATAACACTGAGCTGAACCAGTTCCCGTCTGTGTCATGTGGTTTGCAGGTGCACAGTTTCACCGACGTCTGCTGGGATAAATGTGTGGACACTCCGGGCTCAAAGCTGGACTACAGGACAGAGACGTGCCTGGTGAGCTGCGTGGAGCGATTCATTGACACCACCCTCAGCATCACCAACCGCTTCACACAGATGGTGCAGAAAGGCACTCAGTGATAACGCACCGCAGTCAGACTGTATTATGGTTTTTTTATTCCTAACTTGATGGGAGATGACACGAAGAAGACTTTGTGTACGTGGGTATAACAGCTGGCGTTTGAGAGATGATGAGGAACTCTTATGGGGGGGAGGGGTGCAGTCATATGATCAAACTGGAGGAAGGAAGGGAGAGGGAATCTGCAAGCCTGGAGAAGTCTGGTAATAATAAATCTTAAATGTTTCACCTGAAGAACCAATGTTGCCTGATGTTTTTTCCCTTTCATCCATCTGAAACTTCAAGATTATTATTTACTTTCCTAAACGACATCTATAGAGCTGAAAGCAAAGGCTGGGCAGCTCCTCGCTTGGCACCTTCTGCTTTCTCTTGATCTTCTCCATCGTTATGTTCTGATCAATAGTAGACGAGGAAAATGATAGAGAATTATAATTGTTATTCTGTCAAAAAGAGAGGCTATCAATAATCATTTCAGCACTCGAAAAGCTCCACTCAGGTGAAAATCTAATGCCATTAGAAGGGAGGTGGGCTTAGAGGAGCAGTCTGGAGTTAGGAAGAATTCAAACACTGTCTTTTTCCCCCCAAACAACAGCTGCATAAATGTAAGAGTTGTTCACTAAGAATCTAGCACCAAAAATTCAGTGTTTGCATCAATTATATGTTGAGTGACCTGCAGCTCCATGCACATGTTAAAAAGTAACTGCAAAGAGCTCATCACAGCAAACAGGCAGATTTTTCTGTGCCGCTGCCAGGAGCTAGTCTGTTAGTGTGCCACCACATTAAATATGAACCAGCCGTTTTTCATGCTTGCATCTTTTTACTTCGAGTCATACGCTGACAGGGAAAATCCAGAGATTTACTTTGTGGTTCAACATACGTGCAAAATGAAGTCATGAAGTACCGTGTAGATACAATTAAATAAAACATAAATGAATGAATCACAGGGCTCTGTCCATTGTTCATCCACTTTTTCTGCAAACAAGTTTCAACGTAATGTAACATAGAAAGATTTCTGCACTTAATCCGACTGAAACTTGGTATTTAGACACAGGAGGAACTTTAAGAGCGAAGCGCTGCAAATCTGATCAAAGTGCCTGTAACAGACAAACCTTTTGTCTATCAATTAATAGATGCACATCAACAGTACATTCGTAACAGAAAACAAACATCACACTGGAGTGCCTACTACTACTACTACTACTACTACTACTACTAATAAGACTGTTATCCGTCTCAGGGTACGGCCACCAAAGTTAGCTCTCCAGAGGCTTTTCGGTTAGCTTGGGGGTTCCAGGAGCACACAGCACTGAGCTGGAACAGTGTTCGTGATATCAGACAATAAAGGAGTGAACATGGAATAAATGTTTGCTGCATGAAACACTACAGTGTAAGACTGTTAACATTTTTAGCTGCCCTGAGTGCAGACTTGATGGACGTTTCGATCCATCCGTGAGGTGTGGCTGTGTGCTCCCCTGCAAAGTGTACCCGTCCCTCACTCTGGAACAGTTCTCTGGCATAGTGCCCCTGCTGGTAAGGTGTGAACAGGACAAAGGCTCCCAGACTGTAAGGATCCAAGCCCCACTTCTTCACCAGCCCCCCTGTCCACAAAGGCCTGATGTACTCTCCATGGATCTTCACCAAGTCCTCCAGGACCACAGCCATCAGCTCCCCATCATTCATGCCCTGGAAGAGGGCGGAGTCGTCAGAGCAGGTGTAGGATGCCAGCAGTGCACCTGCGGATGTCCCAGGGAAGCTGTGGCTGGGGTAGTAGATGAAGCGAGCGGGACGGTCTGTGATGCTCTTCCCTCCTCTGATGCCCTCTTTATCCCAGAAGCGCTCCTTGAAACTAAGCACCACCTTTGTGGAGCTGGTGTAGTGAACTGAGCGCAGGGCCTCCATCTTGTCCCCAGAGAGAGGGGGCTGAAAGTCAATGAACAGGGTTGCCTTGGCTGTGGCAGTGACCAGGGTGTAGTCCACCGTTAGGTTAGTCAGGGAGTTGTGCTGGTCCTGATAGGTGATGGTCACATTTCTACCACCTGTCTGGTTTATGAGCTTGACCTTGGAGTTGAGGAGGATGGTGGCATTTAAGACCTGATAGAAAGCTCTGGGCAGGTGTTCAAAGCCATCAGTCACCTCAAAGTACCTGAAAGAAATTCAAGAAAACATCCCTTAATACACAGTACTCCGCTAAAGCTGAACTAATCATTTATTTTCTATAAATTTGAATTATGCCAATCAGCCATAACATTGTGACCATTATGTGCCCCTTTCACTGCCACGGAAGCTCTGACCCATCGAGGCCTGGACTCCCCCAGACCCCTAAGGTGTGCTGTGGCATCTGGCACCAAGTTAGCGACAGATCATTTGATCCTGTAAGTGGCGAGGTGTGGCCTCCGTGGAGTGTATAATAGTGTCCATGGTCTGCAACGATGCTCAGGTAGGTGCTACGTGTCAAAGTATCATCCACATGGATGGTAGGACCCAGGGTTTCCCAGCAGAACATCGCCCAAAGCATCACACTGACTCTGCTGCCTCACCTTCTACCCACAATGCATCCTGGTGCCAGGTGTTGCCTGGGTAAGCGACACATGCACACCTGATGTAAAACGTGACTCACCAGATGAGGCCCCCTTCTTCCATTGCTCCGTGGTCCAGTTCTGATGCTGATCATTGGTGGTTTTGGTGGTGGGCAGTGGTCAGCACGGGCACCCTGACTGGTCTGCAGCTACACAGCAACCAAACTCTGTCAATTCTGACACTTTTCTATCGCAGTCAGCTTGAACCTCTTTCAGCTGTTTGATCTTCGTCTGTTGGATCGGACCACATGGGCCAGTCTTTATTGCCCACGTGCATCAGTGAGTCTTGACTGTCCACGGCCCTGTCGCTGGTGACTGTTGCTTGGAGATGCTCTGTCCCAGCTGTTTTATCGTTAGGTTTGTCCAGTTTTCCTGCTTCTAACGTCAACTTTGAGGACAAAATGTTTACTTGCTCCTTAATTTATCTCACCAACTAATAGGTGCCATGATGAGGAGAGAATCAGTGTTCTTCACTTCACCTGTCAGTGGTCACAGTGTTATAAGTAATAAGAAAAATTACACATATAATCACCTGTATTTATATAGCGTTTTACACATCCACACATTCACACACTGGTGATGGCAGCTACACTGTAGCCACAGCCGCCCTGGGGCGCACTGACAGAGGCGAGGCTGCCACCGGGCCCTCTGACCACCACCAGTAGGCAACGGGTGAAGTGTCTTGCCCAGGGCCCAACGACCGAGACTGTCCAAGCCGGGGCTCGAACCAGCAACCTTCCAATTACAAGGCGAACTCCCAACTCTTGAGCCACGATCGCCCCATATAACATATACAGTAATGACGAAACAAAGGAGAAGTGCCACATGAATCTGTTCCCTCAGCTCTACAAAGTGTTTAAATCAACTATTTTGCCCTTTTGGAGTACAGTCTAACAATGGTGGCACTAGAAGGTATGGAAGACCAACCACTCAGAATCAGAAGCATATCTTAGCTGCTGTTCCTCTTCCCTGGCTTCTTAACATCCCACTGTGACATAACATATGAATATTTCTTACTCGACGTTGTCACTGATGTCTGTCTGCATGTACATCATCTCGATCAGTGATGTGTAGAAGAGGCTGTTTTCATTCAGGATGTCCCCAATCATCCTCAGGGCTCCACGGCTCAGATTGCCCTCCTTCACCAGATACTCCTGTGAGGACATTTCCCCCCAACAGATTACAGCTGTGATCGGTATGACATCGAGTGTCAAGGTAATTAAACCTTTACCTTCACTGTGTAGGAGTCATATTTATCCAATGTGGCACTACAGCCGATTGCCTTCACATCATCTCTCACCTGTGTGAAAATCACAATATTTACAAGACAAGATTCACACTGACATGTGCTACAAAGCAGCACATGAACAAACCTTCCACAGCGCCTGGCTGAAGAGCTGAGCGGCCGTTTTCCCCCTCTCCCTGTCAGACAAGCTGTAGTTGAGCACGCTGGGGTTGTTTTCAACTGTATAGGTTTTATGTAGCTCTCCATTTACCAAGTAGTAGGTGTTGATGTCATCTTGGATGAAGCGGTTCATAGGTATTTGTAATTTGGACGCAAAAGAAAGCAAAATCCTGTGACATAAGCACATTAGTTATCCTGTGTGAATATATACGGTATTTTAACCATTTAGCTAGAAGATCTTTAGTGTTTTGTTAGACTCTTCCTAGTTACTTAGAGGCTCAAATCTTACAAGTACTGAAAACTCTACAGGCTAGTACATTTCTTCTGGCATCATTCAGTTCTTACTTCCAACAGGATATTTTCCTGGATTAAATGAGGGGGTGTCTATTTGCCATGTGCGTCTCTTTACTCACTTATGAAAGCTTGGGATCCTCATGGCCCCCAGTTCTGCATACCAGCCCTCTCTTCTGTTCCTGAAGGTCTCCACACGTCCTCCGATACGATTACTGGCCTCGATTATGGTCACCTTTGATGTCCAAGGGGACACACAGCCATGACACTCAGTTTGAAAAGCATATGCACTTTTAGCACCAACAGTAATGACTCAGAAAATTACTCCCAGAGAGAGTGTAGTTTAAATATTTTTTCCCTGACTGTAAATTACCTTATGTCCAGCATCTTCTAGAAACTTGGCAGCCGTCAGTCCAGCGATGCCCCCGCCGACGATTGCTACGTGTCGAGGCGTCTTTGTAGCAGGAAGACCTTTCTTCACGATGTCAAGAAGCTCGCTGTAGTCTGTGTCTTGGAGGCATTCAAACAGGGGATCTCCTATTATCCCATTCACAGTGAGCACCACAGCCGCCACCAGAACCAGAGGAACTGATGGTGACAGAAAAGATGTTAACTCAGCCGATGAAGTCAAACTGTGGCTCATAAAAAAATCCCCCAAGGGGTTGCCAAGTAACCACAAAGTCCCAGTTTCCTTCCTTTACTGCTAACTTTATAAATAGAGGAGAAATGACGAGAAGATACCGGATTTTCCCAGTTAGTGTTTTGTACTCACAGAGTTTGCACAGTGCCATGTGAGACGTCATCTCGACGATGGAACTCCACAGTCTGGGCTTTTTTTTCACACCGTGAGAGGAAATGGAAACCTAACGGACACAAGCTCTAAATTAAGTTGGCGAGGCTCAGGCAGAACAGTTACGAACAAAGAAATTGTCTTTTTTTAAATATGCTGGAAACAATATACA